CTGGCTGGCATGTGGTGCTGGGGGATTGAACCGCGGTCCCTGATGCTTTGCCAAGCTTGTTCCAAGTAGGTGCCTTAGACCACTGAGCCATCTCTCCAGCCCCAAGATTTCAATCCTAGCACCGCAAAAAAAAAAAAAAAGAAAAAGAACGAAAGTCAAAGGGACGCTGCTGACAGTCACCTGGCCTAAGGGTGGGACCTGTTGTTACCCCAGCCAGAGGCCTCCAAACTGCAGGTGAGGAAAGCAGCTGAAAAGAGCAGAGGTGCTTCAGAATTTGTCTGCAGGGACACTGGGTGTGGTCAATGGCACATGGAACTGGCTGGAAGCAACAGATCACAGTCCAGAGAGGACTGGATTCTCCCGGACTGAGGACCCGGGCCAGGGCACAGGGCCAAGCAAAGCCAACCGACTGAAGGCCAACCCGTGTCCTCCCTCTTCCTCGGGAAGCTAGTGCATTTCCCAGCCTCCTCTGCAGGGGATGTGGAGGCGTCTCTCATCCCACCTGAGGCAAAAGAGCCACACACTGCTCACTGACCTGACTGCCCCAACCTCAGATGCCTGCAGCCCTGCAATATGCCCTTCTCAGAGACCTCCAGGCTACTTATTGAACATGGCAGCTGGCATGGCGTAGCCTCTGGGCCTAACCCTAGGACTGAAGGGGCCGGCGTCCCTAGCCCCTCCACGGGGAGGAAATTACTCCACTAGGAAACGCCAAATGGACTACATGACAGGGTTATTTATTCTGTATCCCCCACACAGCACATCACAGTCTCCACAGCTCTTGGACCTCTGTGGCCCCTCCTCTGTTCCAATCAAGGAAACTGAGGCACAAGGAGGTTCAGTGTTCAGAGGCAGCAGAGCTGGGATTTTAACGCATGCTGTCAGACTCCAGAACCTTACATCCTTCGTCCCTCCCTGAACCACGACCATCCCCAGAATCATGGGCCAGAGACACTGGGAGACACATTAGACCCAGGGCCAACCCTGAAGGAAGTGGCCCTTCTCAGGACTCTGGGGACAGGCGTCACTGCAGGCCCAGGTGGGCTAATACAAGGCCTGAACATGACAGCACAGGCTTGCATGGTCAGAGCCTGGCCCCTGACGCTGGGTAGCCCCTGGCCTTGAATCCAAGTACTCTGGAAACTGTTCTTCCATCAGACAGACAGTAAAGGAAACCAGCTCTGAAAGAGCTCACAGACCCTACCCCAGTCACTTGCAAGCCAAGGCAGCCGTAGGAAGTTGCTAGGCAACAGGGATGGGGGCTGGTTTGGGCTTCAGTGGCAGGCAGGGCTGGGCTGAGCTGAGCGCAGTAGCCAGAAGGGAGTGGAATGTGTCTCTGGGAGAGACCTCGGGTGCTCAGCAGACACTCGCCCATCTCCAGGGTGGCAGCTACACTACAAGGCCCAGTAGGTTCCAGGTAGGCATATCTGGAGGAAGGGCACCCTGGAGCCGGGGCCAGGGCCACCAGGAATGTAGAGTCAGAAATGTGTATGTCCTCTAAGACCAAGAATGGATGTGCAAAGCCATGGGAAATGCCTCTCCTCCACTGGCCCAGAGAAGCACAAATAAAGCACAAAAATACTGCTAGGAATCCTTGAGATTTAAAATGTCAGCCTTAATCAGCACTGCTGAAGAAAAATGGATTCTGAGAAACATGTATCAGATATAAAATCAAACAGAGGACCTCAAGCAGAAGAGAATCTCATGGGGAAAGGCGTTTAAGTGGATTAAAAATGCTGAGTAATGTTCATCTCTCAGGCAGCCAGTACGGAGCAAGCCTGCAGTCTCCCTGCCCACATCTCCTGTTGCGCAAGCCAGTGAGGGCCGCGGGATAGGGCCTGGGGGTACGGCCGCGGGGCAGGGCCGCAGGGGAGCTGTGGAGAGCCCCACAGCTCCAAGTCTGCGACCCCATCACACCTGCAGGGGCTCTGCCACATGGACCCACTCGCAGTGCCAGGGCCTGGGACGCCATCAGCCCTGCCAGTCTCCTCCCAGGACGACGGGCACCCAGCGGCACCGCACCAGCACTCCCTTCTCACACCACACTGGCTCTCACTCCCCAGCTGCCTGCTGGCCTGTGCTCCCTAACTAGGCCTGAGCTGTGGGCAGGATGGAGGGCAAGGCAGTGTCCGGAGTATGGTGTGCAGCACAGGGGCGGCTGACAGCCATGTGCAGGGAAAGGGGTTTGGAGGCAGCCTCAAGTCAGCCGCTGAAGTGCAGCCGGGATTGGCTGAAAAGCCAAGCTGACTCTACAGCAGCCCCACAGCCAGGCCCAGGACTGGGCTCTGGGGACACGGCCACCTGGAACCTAGCACAGGACATGCAGGCATTACAAGGCCCCGGGCCACCCCAGCAAAGGAGAGAAGCCAAGGAGTGTCCCACATGATCGCCGTGTGCACAAAAGGGGGGCTGCCTATTACCAAGAGGACAGCAGCAGGGCTCAGCCCGGTCCGACTTGCCTCTCGGGTTCCTGGTGGGAGGACACACGCCCCCCAGAGGCCTGCCCTGAATATATCTGCAGGGAAACACCCAGGACCCACTTACCTGGGACTTGTATGAACTTTTCCTGAGGGTCCCGAAGGAAGATGCTCTATGGGAAAGACCAGCCCTCATGGGCCCACGCGCCTGGCAGCTGTGACACCCAGTCGGCCTGGGGGGCTACTCAGGGCAGTGCTCTGCATGGCAGACGCAGTGAGGATCAGCACTGAGAGCTGCCGCCCACCAGGCACAGCAGCATGGGCCTGCATCTCAGCTACTTTGGAGGCTGAGACAGGAGGATCCCAAATTCCAAGCCTTCTGGGCAATTCTGCAAGACCCCATGTCAACATCAAATAAACAGGGCTAGGGAAGTGGCTCAGTGACAGAGTGCTTGCCCAGCACGGTCAGGACCTGGTTTTCCTCAGTACTACATAAAAGACTCCTTCCTTTTGTCCTGGGCAAGTGTTTCCTCCTAGACCATGGAGGCCTTCGCACAGCAGTGCCCACCCAGGACATGGGAAGGTGCTGTGCTGCCGCCTCTGGCTGTCCCCTGGGGTGCTAGAAGGACTTGGGGAGGAGAGCCCGGGACAGGAGCCTGGCTCCAGGAGGCAGCACGCAGCACACAGCACCAGGACCCAGGACGGCGTGTGCATGGCCAGCAATCTGCCCTCCACGGCGCCCCCGTTCACCTGGGTTCAGGACAGGCTGTACGACGTCCCCGTTCCTCCACTTGGTCCCCATGCGCTCCAGTTTCTGGGCTTCGTACCGCTTCCGGCCCTCCTCCTCCTGCTCCTGCCGGGAATACTGCAGGAAACCAGACAGAGTCAAGCCCGTGGCGGGGACACAGCACGGCTCCCAGGTCAGGCCCTGCGTCACCAGCCTGGAACTACGCCTGTGCGTCTGTACTGGCGATACTTAGTGAGCAACCAGAACACAGAGCAGAGCAAATCCCAGCCGCGTCCTCCCAGGACAAGCTGGACAGCACACAGTCAGGACCTGCGGTGCTCAGGGCCCAAGGGGTCCCCGAAAGTCTCACGTGTGGAGAGGCCAGACTGGTGGGCACTCTGCTCATCAGTGAGGCATCAGGTGAGCTCGGAGCTGGCTGTGCTGCCAGCAGGCTGGGCCAGGATGGAGGTGGTCACTAGCGTGGGACCTGTGAGTGGTCCTCTTGGCCCCTTCCTGCCTGTGTGGGGTGGAGAGGCTCTTCTTCCCACAGGCCCCACGGCCCTCCCTCCGGTTTCTGCCCTGGGAGCCATCTGGCCAGGAACGAATGAGGTGCTACAACGCGTGCACAGTCCTCCCTGAGACTGGGGGGGAGCTGCGTGCGGTCACACTCCGAGCGAGCGCCCACTGCCTGCTTCATTATTCATCACTCCACTGCACGGATGTGGCATCATCTCTGACTGACCCCTCGTTTCTGGCCACTCAGCTTGTTCCCGTTTTCACTAAGAAAACAGCACGGCACTGCCGATCCTCAGCTCCCTTGCTTTGACCCGCCGCGCTCCTCAAGAACCTCAGCGCTCAGGCAGCCCTGCTGCCCTGCCTGACTGACCCGCTGCAGCGCTGCAGGCGGCCAGAGCCCAAGAGCCCCAGGCTTTTCCAAGGGGCCAAGAAAGCTGACCCAGGAAGTTAAACGTGGGAAGGAAAATCCAGTCCCACAGACAGCCTCCTCCGCCCTGCATGCAGGGCAGGGGTGGGGGGTCCCTCTGATGGAAGAACAGCAGCCCACTCACTGCCTCTTGTGCCCACGGCCCGGTCCACATGGGGGACACACCCTGCACCCCCCACTCCTGGAACCCTCTGGAGACTGCAGTGTGTGTGCCACCATACCCTAGGCAGCCTCTCTCTGGCTGCCAGAGTGGCCCCTTTCCCACAGCTCGTCCTCTGCACTGACCCCTGGCCAGCCCTGGCTTGTCACCTTCTCCTTCAGCACCCCCTCACCTGACCCCTGGGCTCCTCTGCCCCTGAAGCACCTTGGGGCGAGCAAGTTTCCTCATGTAACACTTTCAGACTTCCTTTCTAAGCTATTTTTTCATTAGATAATTTTTGTTCTTTTCTCCTAAGTATGTATTCGTGCCATATACTGAGTGTATTCATCTTAACCACGCTGCACCTTAATCTTCTCTATTCCCCTCCTCTTCATCAGCCACTTCCAAACCTCTCGACGTGCGTCCTTGGAGCTTAGTCCAAGACCTCGCAGAGTCTCAGCACCTTCCCGGCTTACTTAACCACCCAACCCTCCAGGGAAGGGACCCCAGAATTAAAAGAAAAAGCTGGAAGGAGCCCCAGAAGCTACTGAGAATAATTCGCCCTTTCTTACACAAATAAACTACATTCCACCCTCCAAAGGAACAGCCATCAGCAGAGGCTGCACAGCTGGGACTGCCATGCCAAACTGACCACTGAACTGTGCAGCTGGTGCGAACGCCCTGAGCTCAAGCCCCAGCACGTGGAGGGGTCCAGAGAAGAGCCCACGCCTGCAGAGTTCGTCCTGAGGGAGCTCTGGGGGCCCTTTCCATCATCACAGGGCCAAGGAGCTTCCCCCAGCAACGCCAGGCCAGGGGAGGAGGCGGGGTCAGGGAGGCGAGCGCACCTGCGGGCCCTGCCCGTGCTCAGGGTCAAGCTCCCATGGGGCAGCGTGCACATCCAAGAGGTGCACACGTGCTAGGACAGCCAAACACACACAGATGCCATGCACGTAACTTGTGTGGATGAGCGCACTACACACGCACACACACAGGCACAGAAAGGTGCATTTTCTTGAACATACAATGGCCACCTGTGGGAAGTGGCAGGACACTGGCCAGCACGGGAAGCCTGCAATACGCATAGTACACACCAGGGTCCCAGCTGAGTGACAACAGAGGCCCTACATTCTGGTGGCTGAGGTCCTGCAGAATACTGGGGCAGGACAGCCCCCCCAGCAGATGCAGCTGGAAGCCTGCAGCCCCCCCAGCCCTCTCTGCATGGTGGCCACATTCTGACACTTGCCCCTACCACAGCCAAGTCAGTATTTGTCTCTCTTGCACACACAGAGGAAGGGAACAAGCTGCGGGGCTCCTGCTGTGCCCGTGGGCAGCAGGCAGGGAGCCAAAGGTGGCAGAGGCCCTGTCCCCACAGTAAGACAGAGGCCAAGGGAGCCCAAGTCTCACACCCTCACCACTGCCAACACTGTAGCAGCTCAGGCTGCCTGGCCCTGCCTAGCACAAAGGCAGCGAAGGCTTCCTGGAGTGTCCCCGAGGTGTGGCCCAGGACCAAAGTCAAGAGCACGAAGGAGTCAGACCAGGCAAGCGGCTATGCGGGCATTTCCACGGGATGGGACTGAGCAGCAGGAGCAGGGAGGCGCTCCCTGAGCTCCTGGGAGCAGGTGCTGCTCAAGGCCGACGCCATCTCCATCCTGGCCAAGGCTGGAGTGGACCGGGGCAGCAGGGAGCCGGGCAGGTGTGGTCTGAGGTTCGGCCTCCGGGTTGGACAGTGTCCTCCAACACTGCGGTCTACCCAGAACCTCAGAGGGGGAGTGTTCTGGAAACCGGTTTTCTGCAGGTGTAGTAAGAGGAAGGCACAGGGACACAATGGCCCCAAACCCCTGGGGTCCCAAGGAAACCACGTGTAGGCCAGGAGGACACAGCTGAGCCTGTCACCTATGGGGAGGTTCGCTGTGAGAGGACAGGACACTGGGAAGGAACGCAGGCCAAAGTACTGAGCACCCAGGACCAGAAAGAGCAGGTGGCCACTCTGCCACAGCTCTGTGGGCAGAAGCAGCCCAAGACAGTCCAAGGGGCAGCAAGATGGGACCCACCACGCCACAGCCGCCCTGTCTCTACAGGCCCAAGAGCACGGCAGGGGCGGGGCACTCATGAAGGGGTGAGCCTCTCCAAGCACGTGCCCGCCTGAGGGTGCACAGGCATGCTCACTCCTGCCTGCGGAAGTCCCCGGCAAAACCCAGCAGCAGTGGTGACACGGGCCATACCAGACCCAAGCTGTCGCAGCAGCTGCTCCCTGGGCCTGGCCAGGTGGCCTCAGGGTGCTGGCTCTGCGCAGGACATGTCGCCATGCCAGTCCTGTCACCAGCATGCTCTCTGGCCAGGAGTGTAAGGCACAGGTCCTCCAGGGCAGAGGGACACCTGCCCACAGGTGCTGGGAGCTGGCAGGCACACCCCAGGGTAAGGTAAGCAGCAGCGATGTCTCTCCCCCTGCCTTGTTCCCTCCCAGCCTGTGCGCTACTCCCTGGGGATGTCCCATGGACAATCCCGCCCTGGGGCCAGCGCAGGGCAGACTTACCACCACAGGAGGCACCTCGAGGACTTTGTCCACATTCTTCAGTGACAGGGGCACGTACCACAGGGTGGCCTTGTTAGTCAGCTTTTTGGCACCTTAATAGAAGAAAGCCCATGAGTAGAGGCCTGGGAAGGACTTTGCCAGCCCGGTGCTCCTCTGGTCCCCAGCCCCAAGGTCTCTACCTAGAGCCAGTCTGTGCAGGCCCAGCCCTGTCCTCAAGAGCCAAGGCCTCAGTTCCACCCCAGGCCACTCTGGCCAGATAGAGCAGTAAGCCGGGCTGGTCCCAGGCCAGCTGGCATGTCATTAGGTAGGGTAATGTGCTGACAGCTGGCCAAGGTGGTGCACACCTGTACTCCCAGCACTCAGGCGGCAAAAGCAGGAGAACCACAGGTTCAAGGCCAGCCTGGGCTACATAGTGAGATCCTAGCTCAAAACACAAGAAAGAAGAAATAAAAGAAAGGGAAGGAAGAAGGAGGGAGAAAGGGAGGGAAGGAAAGAGGAGGGAGGGAAGCAGGCAGGTAGGCAGGCCAAAGAGGAAGAGAAGGAAAACACATCGGAAGCTTCTAAGAGCCTCCCAAGCAGGACAGGAAGAGGTGGAGACTGTGCCCTGGCCGGCTCTGGGGGCCCCGGCTGGCCAGCCCCCGAGACTCACGGCACCCTGGGTATCGGAGCCAACGTGTTCTGACAATCTCGTCCACCTGTCCAATACATGGGGATGCCCACAAAGACAGTAAGCAGGCAGCAGGGGACAGGAAGAGGCCCACAACAGCCCATCGGCCCCCGACAGAGCCTCCTCACCCTCATGCCTGACCCCATGGCCCCTGCCAGCTCACTCAAAGCTCAACCCAGCACGTCCCAGTGTGGCTCCAGGCTATGGCCTGTGGAACCCTTAGGGCACCAAGCAGGGAAGAGAGGTCATCTGTGTCCAGAGGTCAATGGTCCATGGTCACTTATACAGGAGAAGCCCAAAGCCCAGAGAGGTCAAGGTATTTGCTTGGGGTCACAAAGTAACTTGGCACCATTCTGAACAGACCCAGGCCTCCCAAGACTGGGTCATTTCAGAGTGTCTGCAAAGATGGCTATAAAAGGCAGCTTCTGCAACCCAGAAGATTCCCGCCGTAGAGCAGTGGTGCCACTGCAGGAAACGAGGAGGGGCAGAAGCATACAGCAGCAGGGCACCTTCCGAGAGCCCCAAGGCGTGGCTGCCGGCGAGGGGCCTCCATCTGCCTCCTCAGCGGGAACCCAGGCTTCCCTGAGACTCCCTCAGGATGCGAGTGTGCGTGGGGGGCTAATCAAACAGGGGCCCGAGTTGCCCCGCCTCACCCCGCCTCAGCTCCCCCAGGCCAGCACTGCATCTCGGGCGCCACAGGCACACACGATGAGAAAATATTTCCACTGCGCTTTGACTCAGAGTGAATCTGACAGCCTGCTTTTGGGAATAAAGATTTCCTGTTGGGCTCCACTCGAGCCAGGCTGCCGAGTATGTTTCCATGGAAACCCAAGTGGCCCGCCAGACCTAAATGAACATGCTGAGCAGGAGGAGGCAAACATGCTAATTGCACGTTCACTGTCGCTTAACAACAACACTGCCAGGTCTGCAGCCCTGACATCTCTTTTTAGCTCTGGAGAGCCCCCAGCTATGCTCCGGAGAGATGACAGCGTTGCCTCCTATTAGCATAACATTGGGACAGGTCGTGGGGATGAAGGAGCAGTGTCTCAGGGCCAGGTCTTCCGCGCATGCCCAGCATGTGCCCGCTCAGCTACCTGGCAACCACCCCACCTGAGGGGACCACTGCACATGACAACTGTGCCAGGAGCCTGCCTTGTCCACAATGCCCTTGTCCCACCGTCTGGTCCCTCCAGGCTGAGTGGAACTCGCCCACCCAGGTGCCATGTGTGCTGGGAGGGGGAGTCAGGCCTCACAGCCCCCTTTCCAGGGGACTCCCAGGCAGAGACACCCAAGGGCAGAGACAGGGAGGGCAGCAGGGGACATCACGAGTCAGAGGTGGAGACAGAAGCTGCAGATACAGCCCAGGAGATGCTAGAAGCTACGCCTACAGCGTAAAAGATGGGGGGCCAGCCCCATCCAGCAATCCAGGCAAGCAGATGTGGAAGGGCTGGGCCTTGGGCTCAAGGCCGCGTTGCCAGCCCAGCTGGGAGGGATGGAGAGAGGGAACCTACACCCTGCCTCCTCGTACTCCCATTTCTTCATGGGATGGGCGAGGCCCGGTGTCCTCTCTGACCCTAAACAGGGTGGACATCTTTGCAGAGGAAGGAGAGTAGACCCAGGCCTTCTGGCTCAGCCAGCTGTTTTTAAAATTTATTTCAAGCAGGGTCTGCCAAAGTTACCTAGGCTGGGCCTGACTTTTCATCCTCCTGTCTCAGCCTCCCAGAATGCTGGGATCACAGGTAGGGGCCACCATGCTAGCACCAGTGTAGGGGCCGTAAAGACACGGCCAGGCTCACACATCTGGTTATAGCCCTGTCTGCTGGTTGACAGGCAGGGGTGGACACTGGACCATGGAGGCCATCAGAAGAGGAGGAGCTTGAGGCCTACGCTATGCCCGGACTTCACCACAGGGAGGAGGGTGTGACTTACCCTGAAGCCCGAGGACACCACCCTGTACCTCAAACCCTGGGTGTTGCTGCCTGTGGGGTTCTGTGGACTGTGGCATAAAGTCAGATATGGCTTCAGAGTGGGACACGACCCCCACCCTCCAACTTTGCCCAAGACTCCACCACAGAAAAGCTGGGGTTGCCCAAAGGCTGCCAACCTCCACCAAGAGAGAAACGTTACAATCGAGGGAGAAGGCCATTGCAGCTCGGCCCAGAGTGCCGATGCACATGGGTGACAGAAGTCGGTGCAAGGCACCACCTGCACCGCCATGGTGGGCACAGCTGGCCCTTCCTGTGCCACAGCCCACAACAGCAGCAGCACAGGGTCACAGGGCCCCACGACTGTAGAGACCACACAGGATCGGCCTCTGTGCCCTGCTAGCCTGGTCGAGGTCATCAGAATGTTCCAGAATATGCTGAGCAATCTGGGCCCCGCGGGGGAAGAAGGCTCAAGCCCTTGTGGGCAGCCCCAAGCCACAGTCTGCAGAGCCATCACTGCTGAGGACTAGGGCTGGCAGCAGAGGAAGGGAATGGCCGAACCTCTACTGCGCATGGGACTGCCAGTGGCAGTGAGCCGGCCAGAGCGAGTCATGGGTCCTGCCTGCCCGTCACCAGCGGGGTTATAAGCAGCAGCATGGACATGTGTGAAAGAGCCCTGCTCTCCTGTTGCGGGAAGGAAGGGGTCTCCATGGCTACTGTGTGGGGGAGAACAGAGGCAGCAACCCAGGCAGAGTCCGTGCCAGCTCCTGCCCGAGCCGGGCTTCTACCCGGGTCCAGCACACGGCCCTCCCGGGGCAGGCAGCAGGCAGACCCTGCCGAGGCCAGGGTTCCATGCCACAGAAGGGACAGGGCAGGGACAGCAGGGGGTGGAGGGCAGGGAGCCCCACCACTGCCACCCTGGTATACAGAAGCAGCTCTGTGGCCACCCCAATTGTGGCAGCTGTCGCCTGGCCATCCTGGGCAGGCGGCTTGGTAAGAAGCACCGGCAAGTTACCTGTGAGGATGTTTTCGGACATCACGTTGACCTGGACTTCCACAGAGTGTTTGGAGGTGTAAGTGATCTCTGCACTGACGTGAGCCACCTCGCCGATGCACATGGGTGACAGGAAGTCGGTGCGCTCGACCCGGGCCAGGGCAGCCACACAGCGCTCCTGCAGAATCAGAAACAGTCATAGCACTGCGCAGCAAGCCCATCCCAGACACACCCCCTCCCATAGCAGCTGTGTTTCTGTTGCCCCCTTTTATGGTTAGATCTACACTGTCCCCCCAAAGCTGTGTGGGTTTGGAAGTGCAGGGGATCCTGGGTGCTTGCTCATCAGCAGCCCATCCTTTGATGAGCTCTGCTCCGCTGGGAGCAATCTCGTCCCGGCTCCCCCCACCCCTGCTTCCTGGCTGCCATGGGGTGAGCCCCCCTCACCAGGCCATCCTGCTTCTGCCCTAGAGCCAGCTGCCTGTGGGCCGAACATGTGAGTGAACACAAATCTCCCCTCCTTTACATCGCAGGTATTGGGTATTCTGTCTCAGCTTCGAAAAAGTGACTAAGACCCGCCGTGGGAGGGATGCAGGCTGTGATGACACGGAGTCCCCCGTGCCGAAGCACAGGCTCATGGCCAGGGCTGTGCTCGAGGGCAGCCCGCACCACCTCCGAACAGCAGCAGAAGGGGCACACAGGCTTGCACACGGCCGGGAGACAGGAGGAAGACAGCATCTTCCCTCTGCCTGAGCCGCAGTCTTCCCAGGTCTCCTGGGATGGGGCTTTGATGGCTCACCTGTTCACTAGTGGGCCCTTGTGCACAGGGTGGTGCAGGGGATGGGAGCCAGGGTCACCAGGACTAAACCCTGGGCTCTTATAACTGGGGCAGAATTACACGCACACTTTCACATTCTGATTGTTCTCACTAATGTGGGGAGAAGAAGCTGCCCACAGAATCGCTGTGCCACCACCCTTCCGTCACTACTGAAGCTCTGTCTCGGCCTTCAATAGACAGCACACTGTCATGATGCAACACTCAGAAGGAACAAAGCGGCAGCTGGCCCCGCGACCCAGGGCCCCCAGGTCTGAGAAGATGCGGCCCAGGCCATGCTCCACGGCTGCCAGGGGCCAGGTGCAGCCAGCCGCCCCCACCCCCAGCCACTCTCTTCCTTCACCCTGGAGAGAACCCTCCAGTTCATGTCTGAGTCCGTGCATGCTGCTAGAAGAAAATTTCATGCACCGACTGATGTTTAACCCCACGAATTTGGGGCTAACATGTTCTGGACCAACATGCTAGCAGATTCAGTGTCTGGGGAGGGCCTACTGTTGTCAATGATGCCCTGCAGCTGTCCTCAGGTAGCCCAGGGCTGAGGGACACTCCCAGGTCTTGCGCCACAAGGGCACTGAGCCTTTCCGAGCTCTACCGTCCCCACCCAATCCCCTCTGCAGCACTGCCTCACAGATCACCATCCTGAACAGCAGGATCTCACACAGGAATCTCGGAGGGACACCAGCCAACCCAGCAGCGTGGGAAGGACCCTTACCACCCGAGACCACTCTGCCAAGTTACTTTAAAAGGCCAGAGATCTCTTGTCAGAGATCTGGTCAACCTCCACTGCTACTTACCAGAAATGACTTCATGCTTGGGATAACTCCTAGGTCTAAGAGACAAGGGTTGTTTTTGTGTGTGTTTTTTTTAAAGCTCCTTTATTTCATTTTATTTTATTTTTAACATTTTATTTAAAAAAAAAACATTTTAGTGTGTGTGTGTGTGTGTGTGTGTGTGTGTGTGTGTGACCAGCTCAGCCCACCAGGGGGCAGTGCTGACTGGCATGTGGTGCTGGGGAATTGAACCGCGGTCCCTGTGCTTTGCCAAGCTTGTTCCAAGTAGGTGCTTTAGACCACTGAGCCATCTCACCAGCCCCGAGATAAGGGTTTTGATATATGTTCCCAAAGTCCTTCCCAGTAGCCAGTGGTAATCTACACAGCTGCTGGACCTCCTGTCATTCTACAGGGACTGAACACCAGACCTCTGACTAAGCTACATCTCCAGCCCTTTTTAAAATTTTTTAAAATGTTTATTTACTTGGGGGGCCGGGAAGATGGCTCAGTGGAATAAGCGCTTCCCTAGCAAGCACAAAGGCCTGAGTTCAATCCCTGGTTCCGAAAATAAATAAATAAATAAATGTTTATTTACTTGGTACAGGGGCTCACTACGCAGCTTGGACTCATAGTGATCCTCCTATCTCAGCCTCCCCAGTGCTGGGATTACAGGCGTGCACTACCATACCAGGTTTCTGGGCTGCAACAGTACACCCAGTTTCTGGAGCTGGCACGGCATGGGGTACCAGGAATGGCACTCAGGTCCGTGCACTTGCCAGGCAGGCGCTTAGACCACTGAGCTATCTGCCCAACCTTGCCAGCCATTTTTTTTTTTTTTTTTTTTTTTTTTTTTTTTTTTTAATTTGAGACAGGTTCTCACTAGATCCCTAAGTTGTCCAGTCTGGTCTTGAATTTATGATCCTCCTACCTCAGCTCCAAGACTGCTGCAATGACAGGCAGGTGCCACCAGCACAACTGGCAGAATCAACTTATCTTTCACCTTTGCCAGTCACATCACACAGGTGTGGGCTGGGAAGATAGCTCAGTAGAATAAGTGCTTGCCTGGCAAGCACAAGGTCCTGAGTTCAATCCCTGGTACCGCAAAAAAAAAAAAAAAAGAAAGAAAAAGAAAAAGAAAAAGGAAACATCACACAGGGCAATGACAACGTGGGTCTCAATTTTGCTCTGGAAGGATAAGCATATGGTGACCACGTGCTGGAAGGCTGCTGGTGGCAGGGACGGAGCTCCTTCCGGCCACCCCTGGACTGGGCGCGTGAGGCCTGCCCAGCTCCATCCCTTCTCAGCAAATCCTCACAACAGCCTCTGACAAGCGCCGAGGCCGGAAGCAAGCTGCCGGGCCACAGGGTGGCAGGCACCAGCTTGAGCCTGGGTGAGTGCCCTATACTCCCCACCAGCTGCTGCTGCCCCTCGGCTCCTGCACACAGCCCACCCCAGCCCGGGAGCCCGACCGCTGGCAACCTTGCATCCCTGGGCCCATCACAAACCCAAAACCTGCCTCTCCTGAGCTCCGTCTGGGACCTGGATCTCATCCTCCCAGTTGGCTCTGTCCCTCTGGGGCTGGGGGTCCTGTGACAGTACCACTGGCTCGGTCATAACAGAGACAGATGGTCTCAGCAAGGCAAACAGGGCTGGACAGGAAACTGCACGCCTGAGACACTTCTGACCTGTGGGCCGTGCCATGCCCCTCCCAGCCACGCAAGCAGGAGGCGGGAGCAAGGAAGGTGGCACAGCACAGCAGCATGGTAGCAGCACCACCCACTGGCCCCAAGCTGGAAAGGCAAGGGATGCACGGAGCGGAGCAGGGCAGGTCTGGCAGCAGCGCTGGAAAGTGGCATTCACAGACCCCACACACACACACACACACACACACACACACACACACACACACACTCACACACTCACACTCGTTTCTGTGCATCACTAGCAGTGCCTTACGCCTCACAGCTTGTTCCCGACACAGGTACACTGCAGCCCTTGCTGAGCACTGGGACCCAGACAGAGGAGCCAGACCCTGGCCTGGAGTTAGGACACATAGGACCCAGTGGGGATACAGCGGGGAGGGGCAGAGCCAGTGGGGGGCGCTGAGCTGGGACATGAGCAACCAGGGGCCAGGTGGGCAGACCCCGAGGGCGCGCAGGCCAGGGGGGCCAGGGAAAGGGGCAGGCCCAGGCCTCTGGGGAGGGTGAAGGAGTCAAGAGGCCAGACTGCCGGCTCTGCGGTGACTGCGCAGCTGTCTTCCAACTTCCAAGACCTTGCTGGGGACTGGGCTAGCCTAGGCTCCCACAGAAGAGAGTGTGAACCAGAAGTTCCTCGCTGGGTTGGAGCCTCAGGGGCATGGGCAACTCTGGCTCCTGCTGCCTCGAGTACCCTGCAGCTCCCAGAATCTGGGCGTAAGGGACAGGGCAGCCTCCAACCTAGGAAGGGGCCGTGAGCGCTCTGATCAGCACCTGCCCTAGAAATGCCCTCAGCCGTGTTCCCCAGACGACCAGCATGGGCTCCCAACAGACCCAGGACGTCGGGCCAGGCCAGCAACTTCAGAAACAGCCCAAAAGAGCAGCCCTGGAAACTGGGTTCAAATCCCAGCTCTGCTGCCTGCTGGCTCTGCAACCAGCAGTGACACAACTTCTTCGCATCACTTCATAAGTGCAGACGACACAGGGCTTGAGTGAAGTTCCTCAATCACATCCAGCCACCCAGGAGTGGGGCTGTCACCTGGAGCAGCCTGGGGCTCACAGACCCTCTGGAGCTGGAACCTCCAGGCCACCAGCCACAGAGCCAGAACGGTGCTGAGCACCTGGTGCAGAGCAGCAGGACCTACAGCAGGAGCCTCCTGGTCCAGACCTCGCGCTACACCTTTGGGGGCTTCACCCTTTCCACGCTGTTTCCCATTTGTGTGGTGGGAATAATGACATGCGACAGCTCTTAGGGAGCCATGAGTTATATGCACTAGAGCTTCAGAGCTCTGCAAATGCCAAGTGCTAAGCAAAAGCAAGCGACTGCTTCTACACTCACCAATGGCACTGCTGCCACCAGTCCTCTCAAGCCCTCCTTCCCACCTGGTCCTAGGGGCTCTCACATCCCAGTGTCCACCCCCGCTGGCGAGGCCCAGCTGGAACCCTCACTATCCATCTCCCCAAGGGTCTGTCAGACTTCCAAACTACGGGCTTGGGCCTGTCCTCCCCACAGCCACCAGAGGGCGCTCTCTGATGCAGCAGGTTGCAAGAGTCCAAACCCCAACCATCACCGCTGAGACCAGCCAGGCAGGCACCCAGCCCTGTCACTACCCAGGTGTGACAAGATGCCACCTAGGAAGCAGGGAGCTGTGGGGCTATGCTGCTGGCTTGCCAGCCCGTGACAGGCCTCAGGTCACCCTAGGATGCTCAGAGCCCCCTAAGTACAGCTCCAGGCCCTGCAATGAAGCACCATCTCAGTGAAGCAGCCGCACAGCTTGGCGGCTTCCGAGCACACACCAGTACATGTGGCACACGCCACAGCCACGAGCGTACCGAGCACTGGGTCCGAAGAATAATATGTAGATCTGTAGTACAAATGCTTTATTAGAAAAGAAAAAAACTTCCCTGTGATCACCGGAGCCTCCAGCAAGCCACGCGGCCCTTCTGGGGGACGGTCGGCTTCCTTCTTTCCTTTTGTCTTGTTTTTCTGAGATAGGGTCTCACTACATAGCCCAGGCTGGTCTGGATCTCACTGTGTAGCCCAGGCTGGTCTTTTTTTTTTTTTTTTTTTTTTTCAGAACCGGGGATTGCACTCAGACCCTTGCGCTTGCCAGGGAAGCGCTTATTCCACTGAGCCACCTCCCCAGCCCCAGCCCAGGCTGGTCCTGAACTTGCAGCAATCCTCCTGCTTCCGCCTCTAAGCGCCGGGACCACAGGTGCGTCATCACACTCAAGGTACAGTGGCAATTTCTTAATGTAACACACCGATGAAATCTGCCTGGCTCTTCCTTGGGGAGCAAACTTCTCTGCAGCACAAAGCGGGCTGAGGCATCTCACCCACAGAAAACAGAACTTCTCTGAACATTGGAAGCGATCCTCTTGGGCTTTTTTTTTTTTTTTCCCCTGCGGAACCGGGGATTGAATTCAGGCCCTTGCGCT